ATTTTCTTGGCTGTAATCTTTATGGAAGCCAGTCACCAGATCTTTCTTCCATGACACTGCTGGGTGGGTTAGAACCGCTGATCTTTAGGTTAGTAGTCGAATGCAGACTGTTTGCACCACCTAGGGACCTCCTATAATAACTAACTTTTTAATAAAAGGCTTCAGGTCATAACAAATAGTATTACCTCGAGCTTTTCTAAATGATGCATGGGAATGATAATTTTTTAAGAGATGATGATACTGAGTCACAGCCCTTCCAATCTGGCATCAAAAGAAGAAATAAGCAAGTATATATTTTTTTCTGCGAAAATGAATATTTAGGAAACTGGTGAAGGAAAACTAGTCAGAAAAACATAGTGAGAAAGTGCAAGAGGAAAGATATGAGAGAATGTGGGAGATGGTAGTGTTTTAGAAGCCAAGGAAAGAATTTCAGATTTTCCATTCAATAACAAATTATTTAAATAAATTATAATTTATAATTACAATTTTATTTAAATAAATTATAAACAATAAATAATTAATAAAACTATAAACATCTATCCTGGCATGCTGAGTCCCCTCCCCCAGTTTCCTGAGACAGAACAGGGTTTGGGAGATATATTCAAATTCTCTATCACCATTCATGTCAAGCCATTGGATTATAACTTCCTATATGAAGAAGGATAGAACAGAGTTCGATCCTTATGACAAAATTCAAGAAAAAACTGGGTGTGCTTTTCCAGAAATGTACTGATTCTTCAAAAGTTTACATAATAGCAAGTATGGAGACTATTTACAAAGGATTCACTAAATCTCATTGGGTTGGAATTTTGCTAATGAGGCTTCTCATTTTTAAAGTTATAATTTAAGTATAAGTTAAATAAAGGTCCTAATACTATAAAACAGGACATGTCTGGAACCTCTTTTTTAGTCAGAGATTTCCTTGAGTATGAGACAAATTGGAGTAACTGCAATAACAAAGCATTTTTCCAGTACCTACTAATTGCCAGGCCCTGGTCTAGGTGTTTTACATATTTTATTTC